TATGAGAAGTGTGTAGTAATTCTTATCTTTGTGCCTCTTTATGTAATACGTCTTTTCTCTTTAAGATTTTCTTTTTATCACTGGTTTTCAGCAATTTGAAGATAAGTGACTTGGTGTGATTTCCTTTGTTTTTTGTTTTTTTGTGAGGAAGATCAGCCCTGAGCTAACATCCATGCTAATCCTCCTTTTTTTGCTGAGGAAGACCGGCTCTGAGCTAACATCTATTGCCAATCCTCCTCCTTTTTTTTTTCCACCAAAGCCCCAGTAGATAGTTGTATGTCATAGTTGCACATCCTTCTAGTTGCTGTATGTGGGACACGGCCCCAGCATGGCCGGAGAAGTGGTGCGCCAGTGCGCGCCCAGGATCCGAACCCCGGCCGCCAGTAGCGAGCGCACGCACTTAACCGCTAAGCCATGGGGCGGCCCCTTTGTGTTTATTCTGATTGGGATCTGTTGAGCTTCTGGGAACTGTGAGTTTATAATTTTTCTCAAATTTGGAAAATTTCAACCATTACTGCTTCAAATAGTTTTTCTCTCCCCCGCTGCCCTGCCTTCCTTCTCTTCCAGGCCATTTGATATTGTGCCACCACTTACTTTTTTCTTGTTTATTTATTTTTAGTGGTTTTTTCCTCTTGTGCTTCAGTTTTTATAGTCTCTGTTGCTATGTCATCAAGAACATTCCAGACACTGATTTTTCTTCTTCAGTATTTAATATTTTGTAATCTTGTCCAGTGAATTTTTTATTTCAGATATTGTATTTTTAAGCTCCAGAAATTCTATTTGATTCACTTTTATATTTTCCACTTCTCTCCTCATTATATTCTTGATTTCCATTAAATCCTTGAGCATATTTGTAATAGCACCTTCAAAGTCCTTGTCTACTATTTTATCATCTCTATCATTCTGGGTCTGTTTTTATTGACTGTTCTCCTCCTGGTCACATTTACCTGCTTCTTTGCATGTCTAGGAATTTTTTATTGAACGCTAGGTATTGTGAAATTTACATCGTTGAATGCTAGATTTTGTCATCTTCCTTCAAAATGTCTTGAATTGCGTTCTGGCAGGTAGTCAGGTTTTTTTTGGTGAATCAGCTTGATCCTTTCAAGCCTCCTTCTTAGGATTTGTTATAGCCTATCTTGAGAAGCCTCTCTCTAGGGCTAGTTTTACCCCTACTGGTGAGGTGTCCCCTTCCGGAGTTCAACAATTTCAACAGGAACTCCCCACGTTAACTGGTCAAAACTCAAACATCTCTCAGCCCTATGTTAACTTTGGGAATTATTCAGTTTACAGCTACTCAGTTGTTCTTTGCCTGGCTACATGGAGTTTCACCCTGTTCATGTGCAGCTTAGTATTCAGCAACAGATTCAAGCATCTTCTAAGCAGAATTCTGGAGCCCTTCCCTGGGTAATTCTGTCTTCTCCATGATGAAACAAGTATAGTAACATTTTACTAACCATTCACTAAATCTAAGTAATGAATTTAGGGATGTTCACTGTAAAATTTTAGCTTTGCTGTATTTTTGAAAATTTAGTAAGATATTTGAAAATAATCATATTACATACAACAAATACAATGCCACCATTTGTAAAAGTATTTGTAACATTGTACATCACCATGAAATGGGTTCTAAGTCAGAAATGGCTGGGAAATGCTGGCCATCAACAATAGATTGAAAGAGCTTCTAGTTCATGTGGCCCTTTGCCTCATTTTTGCAAACATAATCCTTCAGATTCTCAGAAGCTCCACTGCCGTATGTTCGTCTATGAAGCTTTCCTCAGTCTTGCTGGCTATGCTGAATGTCGGTCTGCTGATTACTTCTGAAGCACAAGGCACACATTTTTGGCATGGCTCGTTTTCTCTCTGTGTATAACTATTTGCCTATAAGTCTTTCTCTGGTTTGCACCAGAGGGTGCAAACTGGTGAGCCAAATCAAGCCCACAGATGTGTTTTATTTGGCCTAATGCTTTCAAAAAGTCAGTTGTCCACCTTTAAAAATTAGGGGATTTCACATAAAACCTGGATTTTCGGCTCCTTAACAAGCAATCTGGCAACACTGGATGCACATTCCCACATAGCAACAGCTGACTGCAGTGGAGAAGCAGTTTTCCAAGGCCTACAGGGCCTGCTTCCCTCAGTTACCACTCAGGTGGTTGAATTTACAACTCCCAGACCTCCACTGTCTAATATGGTAACCACTAGCTACACATGGCTATTTGAATATAAATTAATTCAAATTTAATTTAATTATAATTAAATAAAATTAAAAACTCAGTACCGCAGTCACATTAGCCACATTTCAAGTGCTCAATAGCCACATGTGGCTAGTGGATAGCACATTAGACAACAGAGAATAGAACTTTGCCGTCATTGCAGAATGTTCTATTGAGCAGTGCTGACTTAGCCTGTCTCCCCAGTTGGAACAGGGAACATTTTCCCTATCCCTTGAACAACATACATTACTACTAGTACTGCAGAGCCTCAATCACTATTTACTGTTTTTATGGGAAAATATGCCAAGTTCTAACACTAGACATGGGCTTGTGGACGGCTCACAGCACTAGCTGTTGCTTTAAATCTAAAGTCAGTCTCTATTCTAGACATTTGGGAATTACTGGGGTTTTTTGTTTTTAATAATTTCAAACCTTGAGCCAGCCCTGATGGCCTAGCGGTTCAAGTTTGGTTTGCTCCACATCAGCGGCCCAGGGCTGGGTTCCCGGGTGCAGAACCACACCACTCATCTGTGTATGTCAGTAGCCATGCTGTGGCAGCAGCTCACATAGAAGAACTAGAAGGACTTACATCTAGAATATGTAACTATGTACTGGGGCTTTGGGGAAGGAACAAAAAAAAGAGAGGAAGATTGGCAACAGTTGTTATCTCAGGGCAAATATTTCCCAGAAAAAAAAATAAAAAATAGTGGGGCCGGCCCGTGGCTTAGCGGTTAAGTGCGCGCGCTCCACTACTGGCGGCCCGGATTCGGATCCTGGGCGCGCACCGACGCACCGCTTCTCCGGCCATGCTGAGGCCGCGTCCCACATACAGCAACTAGAAGGATGTGCAACTATGACATACAACTATTTACTGGGGCTTTAGGGAAAAAAAAGAAGGAGGATTGGCAATAGATGTTAGCTCAGAGCCGGTCTTCCTCAGCAAAAAGAGGAGGATTGGCGTGGATGTTAGCTCAGGGCTGATCTTCCTCACGCACACACAAAAAAATAGTATCAATAATTTCAAACCTTAACATTGCTATATCACTACCATCTAATATTCAGACTCCATTTAAGTTTTATCAATTGTCCCAATAATGTCCTTAATAACAAAAGGATCCAGTTTAGAATCACATGTTGCAGTTGTCTCATTTAAGTCTCCTATCTGAACAGTTCTTCAGTCTTTTCTTGACTTTCACAACCTTGACACAAGTGAGGATTATTTTGTACCATGTCCTATTTTATAGAATGTCCCTCAATTTGATTTATCTGGTAAGATTCAGCTTGTCTGTTTTTTGCAGGTATCACAGTGATGCTGTGTTCTTCTCATTGTTGCCTATAGGTGGTATGGTTATTTGTCCCATTATTGGTGATGTCAGTTTTCATCTAAGCTACTATCTGCCAGGCTTCTCTAGTGTACTTTCTCCTTTTGTAATTTTTTTTTAAGGTTATCTTTTTTTGTTGTTTATTTTTATTTATTTATTTATGTTTTTGTGAGGATGATCAGCTCTGAGCTAACATCCATGCCAATCTTCCTCTTTTTGCTGAGGAAGACTGGCCCTGGGCTAACATTCGTGCCCATCTTCCTTTACTGTATATGGGACGCCGCCACAGCATGGCCTGACAAGCGGTGCATCAGCGCACGCCCAGGATCCAAACCCTGGCCGTCAGCAGCGGAGTGTGCGCGCTTAACCCCTACGCCACAGGGCCAGCCCCTCCTTTTGCAATTAATATGTATCCCCTTCCTCACCAAACTTTCAACTGATATATATTATTAGTATGGATTCTTATTCTATTCAGTGAGTTATAATCCTGTACTATCATTATATATATTTTGATACTCAAGTTGTCCCAGATTTGGCTAGTGACTTTTGTGTACTTTTGATGTGTCCCTGTGGTTCTTGGAGCACTTCCTTCTTTCTGGAACAATAAAATGTTCCAGGCTTATCTAGTACTTTCCTTGTCCCAGCCCTGGAATCACCCATTTCTCCAAGGAGCCCTGGTTCCTTTTATCAGAGAATGAAGCCCCCTTTGTGGACTGAGCTAGGCAATATTTGTATTCCCTACATATATATACATTGGCATCTATATTTACTTACATTGAAATCTGTATTTATTTGGTTCACACCAGTACCTCAGCACTGCAGAGTTCATTCTAGGTTATTTTGCCTTTTCCAGATTTGTAACCCCATTCTCTGCTAGTTCCCATTATCTTCAATATATTTACTTACTGGATCAATACCCCCGCTATGTATGTAACCAATCTCCCATTGCCAGCACCACCCACCCAGCTACCCTTTTCTCACCCTGAAGACACTTTTGAGATAACAGAAATTTTCGTATAGACTGAGTATTTAATATTAAGCAATTACTGTTAATATTAAGTGTGATAATATCAAGCTAAATTTTTAAAAAGTCCTTAGCATTAAGAGATACATATTTGCGAGGTGATGGGTACATGGGGGTTATTATTCTACCTATTCTTTTGTTTTTTGTGAGGAAGACTAGCCCTGATCTAACATGTTGCCAATCCTCCTCTTTTTGCTGAGGAAGATTGGCCCTGTGCTAACATCCATGCCCATCTTCCTCTACTTTATATGGGACACTGCCACAGCATGGCTTGCCAAGTGGTGCGTGTGTGCATGCCCGGGATCCGAACCTGGGAACCCGGGGTCACCGCAGCGGAGCACGCGCACTTAACTGCTATGCCACTGGGCTGGCCCCTATTCTATCTCTTCTTATGATTGAAAATTTCACATTAAAAAAATCTAATTAAAGGACGGGAGGCAGGTCTGCAGATCACTGGACTTTATTAACATGGAATCACAGCTAATTACATAGAAGCTACTGGCTGAAGCCAAAATCCATGAGGTTCACATGAACTTACAGTACACAAATAAGAAACAAATGGCATGTTCAAAACCATAGGAAGTATCCTGATGCCCAGGTGATGAAGGCTGGGGTGAATGAGTCTGCACATTTATTTCAAGTTGTTAAAGAGTTTGTGGGCCACCTAGATGGGGGAAAGAAAAGATGTCATCAACTGGCAGCTTTAATGTCACAGCTTACGACGTCCTTCGTGGCCTAGAACAGTACTGTCTCTTGTCTCACCACTTCCCTTCTCACCCCTACACTCCTCTGGAGCCCTTGTGAACTCCCTTCGGTTACCTGAATACTATCTCCCTTCTAACTGGAACTCTCTTTCCCACTTTTTTCATCGTTTATTTTCCTTTAGAACTTAAGTTTACATGTCATTTCCTGCAAGCCTTCTCTAAACAAGCTCTTATCCTCACACAAATCTGTTCATCCTGTCTTCCCCACAGAAACTTATATCTCACATATCATGGTGCTTATTAATTCAACAAATATTTATGAAACATCTACTATATGCCAGGTACTGTTCTAGGTGCTGAGTTACAATGATAAACAAGACAATATCTGTCTCTTATGGAACTTAGAGAATAATGAGAGAAATTAATATACACATGAAGTAACTTCTGATAGTGATAAATGCTATGAGGAAAATAAAATGGGGGGAGGGCACAGCAGCTTTAAATAGGAGGGTCAGTGAAGGCCATCCTGAGGTTATACACAAGACACCAGTTTACTAACTGTTCTACTTCCTCTGCTGGCTCAGCAAAGGAAAGGAACATGCCTGTCTCACTCCCAGATCTTAACCCAGTGCTTGGTTCATAAAAGTATTTAAATAACATAAAATTTACCAGTTTAACCATTTTTAACTATACATTTCTGTTGCATTAATTCACATTGTCCTACAACCATCAATCTCCAGAACTTTTTCATTTTCCCAAACTGAAACTCTGTATCCATTAAATAATTCCCCATTTCCCCCTCCCCTCAGCCTCTGGCAACCACCATTCTACTTTCTGTCTCTATGAATTTGACTACTCTAGGTACCTCACATAAGTAGAATGATATATTTGTCCTTTTGTGATTGGTTTATTTCACTTAGCATGTCTTCAAGGTTCACACATGTTGTACCATGTGTCCTAGTTTCCTTCCTTGTTAAGGCTCAATAATATCTCATTGTATGTATATACATTTTTGTTTATTCATCCACCCATCAGTAGACACTAGGTTGCGTCCACCTTTTGGCTACTGTGAATGCTGCTATGAACATCCATGCACAACTTGAACAGATGTTCAAGTTCCTGAACAGTCTCAATTCATTTGGATATATTTCCAGAAGTGGAATTGCTGGATCATATGGTAATTGTATGTTTAATTTTTTTGAGTAAAGTGCTTGATTTCTTTTTATTGCCAAATAATGTTCCATTAAATGGATCTATCACATTTTATTTATCCATTTATCAGATGATGGACATTTATGTTGTTTCCACTTTTTGGTTATTATGAACAATGCTTCTAAGAATATTGTATACAAGTTTTGGTGTAGACATATGTTTTCATTTCTCTTGGGTACATACCAAGGAGTAGAATTGCTGTGCCATATGTTAACTCTCTGTTTAACCTTTTGAAGAACTGCCAGACTGTTTTCCACAGGGCTGCATCCATTCACATTCCCATCAGCGTATGAGGCTTCCAGTTTCTCCACATCGCTAACACTTAACTTTTTTTTGATATAGAGTTGTATATGCATATTTTGTATATAAAACTTCCCTCTTTCCACTCAACTCATGTTTAAAAAAACAAACGATATATGAATAATTGTATGTAAACCAGATGGATGAAATAAATTGAATATACATCAATGGAAAGGAATACAATACCTCCATTTATAATATGTTATATGTAAATGTGTTTATTATTATTTCATTTTTGTTTAAATATCTGATGGTATATACAAGAAAACATGGTTATCTCTAGGCATAGGCTTTCAGCTAGATTTTCCTATCTTTATAAAAAAACTTCCTAGGGCCGGCCCTGTGGCTTGGTGGTTAAGTGCGCGCGCTGCGATGCTGGTGGCCCGGGTTCGGATCCCGGGTGCGCATCGAGGCACCACTTCTCCGTTCATCCTGAGGCCGAGTCCCACATACAGCAACTAGAAGGATGTGCAGCTACGACACACAACTATCCACTGGGGCTTTGGGGGGAAAAATAAAATAAATAAAATCTTTAAAATAAAAAAAAAAAAACAAAACAAAAAAAAAAACTTCCTTAATTGTCACAATGTGTTTAATAGGGGTGTGTGTGTATGTGTGTGTCTGCACGTGTGTTTGTGTGTTTGCACTATATATTACAGAATTAAAACAAAATACCTATATTGGGATTGTTGAAGTATAAACAATGAAAGTTGGTTGAGTGGAAATCATTAACTAGTTTTTTTTCTTTTCGGGGAAAGAAGAAAAGGTTTTTTGTTATTTTTATTTATTTGTTTGTTTGTTTTTCTTTTTACCTTTTGACCCCTTCACCCATTTCTCCTTATCTTTTTTTAAAGATTTTTATTTATTTATTTTTTCCCCCCAAAGCCCCAGTAGATAGTTGTATGTCATAGCTGCACATCCTTCTAGTTGCTGTTATGTGGAACGTGGCCTCAGCATGGCCGGAAAAGCACGGCCGGAGAAGCGGTGTGTCGGTGCATGCCCGGATCTGAACGCGGGCCGCCAGCAGCAGAGCGCGTGCACTTAACCACTAAGCCACGGGGCCGGCCCTCTCCCTGTCTTTTTGATTAAAGCCATCCTAGTGGGTGTGAAGTGGTATCTCACTGTGGTGTTTTTTTTTTTTTTTTTTGAGGAAGATTGGCCCTGAGCTAACATCTGTTGCCAATCTTCCTCTTTTTCTCTTTTTTCTCCCCAAAGCCCCCAGAACATAGTTGTATATCCTAGTTGTAGGTCCTTCCAGTTCTTCTATGTGGGACACCACCTCAGCATGGCTTGATGAGTGGTGAGTAGGTCAGTGCCCAGGATCTGAACCGGCGAACCCAGGCTGCCAAAGTGGAACGTGTGTGAACTTAACTGCTACACCACCAGGCCCCTTTCACTGGTGTTGAGCACCTTTTCATATGCTTATTATCTACCCAATCAGTTTTAACATAAGCAACCATATCAAACTTTGCCTACCCTGTAATTTATTTAAAATATCTTACTGTTATATGTAAGAGCCTCAAACACAAGTTTACTTAAAAAAAAAAAAAAATGTTTTGGACCAACTATCATGCACAAGACACACTGGAGGATATAAATTATTTGAAAGAATAGCCTGTTACTTAAAAGTACAAAATCCAGCTTCCCCACCGTTTAGCAGTGCAAATCAGGACATCATTTCTCTTCTCTGAGCCTCAGTTTCTCACCTGTAAAAGGGGGATAATGATACCTATCTCCAGTGAAAGTAGTAGAACTAGGTAAGATTATTTATGTAAAGTGCTCAGTACTGTAGCTAACATATACTGGGCCACAGTAAATGCTTATTGATGATGGGGCCGGCCCCGTGGCCTAGTGGTTAAGTTCAGCATACTCTGCTTCAGAGGCCTGGGTTCAGTTCCCGGGGGGCAGACCTACACCACTTGTCAGCAGCCATGCTGTGGCAGCGACCCACATACAAAATAGAGGAAGACTGGCACAGATGTTATCTCAGGGTCAATCTTCCTCAAGCAAAAAGAGGAAGATTGGCAACAGATGTTAGCTCAGGGCAAATCTTCCTCAGCAAAAAAAAAAAGAAAAGAAAAAATTCTTATTGATAGATCTGCCACTGGGATGGAAAGGATGTCAGCACCAAGTCTTCCCTGGCCACTGTAAGCTTTCTCCTTCCTGACTTTAGGCTGACTTACGCAGTGGTCCCTTGCATGCAAGAAGTCAAAGAGCTCCTCCGTGCAATCCTCCTCTGTCTGTGACCTAGAGGATACACGCTCATCACAGAGCTCTAGCCGCTCCCGAGCCTTTACACATTTCTCCATCTGCTCGCATTGCTCTCTCACTGTTGTTAGGGGATCCTGGAGGAGAAACACAGAAAAAAACCAAAATGGAGACTTTAGGAGGAGACCCACAAACCATATGCTTTGATTAATACAACCACCAAACCAAGGTGCTGCCTCTGAATTACCGTGCAGAAGGCCAGCTGGCAGAGCCACACTGCCGCCAGAAATGGCAAAATGGGGTCTCCCATTCAATTCTGATGCTAAGTAGTAGGGAAAAGTTTCACATTCCTGCCTTCCAAGGTTGCCAGTATGCACTGAAAGCCTCAGTCCTATCTGAAAAACAAGGTGGTAAAGGAAACCTGGCCAAACTTGAAGTAGATCTACAGGAGGCCTTACTTATTAACACAGCATTTTAGGATATATACTGTCAGTGAATTTCAACTCCTCTTGTCTAACAGCCAGGCCTATGCACCCCAGCTGCCCAGCTAGAAAGGGCAGTGTTAACATGGAGAAGGACCATCTAAGAAAAATTCCTTCCAGAATTCTTTATTAAACACAGATAGCAGATGATTGAGTGCCAGGCCCTCAAGATGTTGCTCTGCTCCCTGAGACCACGACTGGAGAAGCCCCAAACCCAGAAAAGACTCAGCTCCCAGGCCCACACCCCCAAACACTCCACTGCACAGGAAAGAAGTATTAAAGGCTTTTTCCATTCCCATTCTCTCCAAGGTGTCAAGTAAAGACTCCTTAAAATTCCCTTAGAGTTTCATGAAGCTCAAACTTCCTTTTACTGAGATGTTTCCAAACCTGAGACAGTTCTTACCACTAATTCCTCCTCCTCCTCTTCCTCCTACAAAAGGAAAACAAAATTAATGTCAGCAGCAGTTTTATGACATATATTCCCAATCATACTGATGTTGTAATTACTGAGGATAGACACTGTATTAATCATGTTTTTAAATTTTCTGTATTTTATGATGCTTTGACATTTTAGGGGGCCTCGCTTATCCTGGAGAGACAGCCCCTTGCAGGGCTGGCTAATTTCTAGAGATAGCAAACAACTTGCCTGGGGGCAGGCCTTTCATATGCAAACTAACCCAAACCCTTATCACAACCACCTCCTTTTTCTAACTCTCCTACACTAAACCAATTATTGCCCCTGCCCTAATCACCCCAGGGCCAAGTACCAAACAACCAGGGACCACCCCTATAGCCCAGAGCCCACCAAAATTATTCAAACTATCTAATCCTAAAATTGCTAGAGTTTGCCTATCCTGCCTCACTCATTCCTTCCCTCAGAAACCAAGGGTCTGGTATCCCTTGCTCCTTCTGCTCCTGACTGGTCCAGGTACTTCCCCAGGTGGCTCTGGGTGGTGAGGCCTGCCCTCTTCTCTTGGGAACTCTAAGTAATAAACTTTTCTTTCAAATACAGTTGTCTCCATGTCTGTAACCTTATCATATCCGATTAAAACAAATCCTGGGTACATTTCAACAAGAACAGATCATCCTACTTTGATTAGCAACAACCTAAAATGTGTACAACACTCTAAAGTTTATAAAGCACTTTCATATCTGTAATAATTTGATTAATCACAACAGCCCCTTAAGGAGCTTCCAGTTTAGGGCCGGCCTGTGGCTTAGCGGTTAAGTGTGCATGCTCTGCTACTGGCAGCCCGGGTTCAGATCCTGGGCGTGCACCGACGCACGCTTGTTGGGCCATGCTGACACCGTGTCCCATATACAGCAACTAGAAGGATGTGCAGCTATGACATACAACTATCCACTGGGGCTTTGGGGAAAAAAAGGAGGAGGACTGGCAATAGATGTTAGCTCAGAGCAGGTCTTCCTCGGCAAAAAGAGGAGGATTAGCATGGATGTTAGCTCAGGGCTGATCTTCCTCACAAAAAAAAAAAAAAGAAAGAAACAGCTAAATTGAGTCCTTACATCCCAAACCAAGTTAGGGGGAAAACTAACATTTTTTTCTAGACTCTGAACTTGAATTGGGAATATGAAAACGACCAAACCTAAACTCTTCTTAAGCCAGAGCTTAACTAAAGATGGTTACAGTCACTGCTTTGCTTTTGGCTTGCCAAACTCCCAAGACTCTAAGTAGACTATCAATATAAGTGCACAAAAGATCTACATTCACAAAGTCTACTCCAATCACAAGCTTGGAAACACCAGGCCCTACCTATTTACTTCTGATTCAAGTACACAACCTCAAACTTAGTTTCCTTTCTTCCAAAGGGAGCAGTATAAAAACAATTTCTTGTGCAAGCATTAGCATAGTCCTCATCTGGGGCACAGTAGAGTCTGATCAGTATCTCAATCTGTCAAAAGCAAGGTGTTTGCCTGCCTGTGCATGCACGTATCCACATTTGGGAGAAGGGAAAGAAAAGGTATACAGGGAAATTTTTCATTAGCTGAACTAGCTCAGCAATCCCTCATTATGTTTTCAAAATTCCAACACAATCTGCCTCCTACTCTACCATGCCCCTTCAAGAAGGGACCAAAGTTCATGAAAGCTGGGAGTAAGGGGTAGGGCAGGTTCAACTGTAACCTAGGCTATTTATTCTCACAATCGGCAAAGGTTTCTTCTAAACTGAAGATGTTATTCAGGACGTAAATGCTAGTTTTTCATTAAATAAGGTTTTTCTCTCTTCTTTTCTTTTTTTTTTCTGGTGAGGAAGATTAGCCCTGAGCTAACATCTGTTGCCAATCCTCCTCTTTTTGCTGAGGAAGACTGGCCCTGGGCTAATATCCGTGCCCATCTTCCTCTACTTTATATGTGGGACGCCGCCACAGCATGGCTTGACAAGCGACATGCAGGTCAGCACCCGGGATCTGAACCTGCGAACCCCAGGCCACCGAGGTGGAGCTCGCGGACTTAACCACTATACCACTGGGCCCGCCCTAAATAGCTTCTTAACCTTGCTCTTTTAAAAAAATTCATACTGAAAAAGGTTTTCCAAAAAACTGAAATCACATGCTGCCTGAGTTAGAAACTAGAAATTAGTATCCTAGAAGACCTTTATATCATTTCTCTATTAGCAGTACTACTACACTGATGATTTTGTGTCTTTGATAATTTGATGTCAAAAGTATCATGGCATATTTGGAAAAACAAATCCAGATCAAGTCTGAATATGGACTACTTCATGTAAAATTTCCAGTCAATGAGAAAAACCAAGGTCACGCTAAATAAAAAGACTTAATCTCTAAAAGGTATACGTTCTCCATAAAAGACCTCAGTTTTCTTAATTTTAAAATTGACTACCTAGGGCCGGCCCCGTGGCTTGGTGGTTAAGTGAGCGCGCTCCACTGCTGGCAGCCCGGGTTCGGATCCCGGGCTTGCACGGACGCGCTGCTTCTCTGGCCATGCTGAGGCCGCGTCCCACATACAGCAACTAGAAGGATGTGCAACTATGACATACAACTATCTACTGGGGCTTTGGGGGGAAAAAATAAATAAATAAAATCTTTAAAAAAAAATAAAATAAAATTGACTACCTATTTACTTTCTTTTCTCATCTACTGCTGTGGTTAGGCCACTGAATTTTCTGGTATACTTTCTGCTGAACTTCCTGAGATTGGCTCCCCTTCTTTCTTGTCCTCTTTCGGAAAATAAGACTAGGAAAAATTAAGAGATAAACTAGTTTCCAACTATTCTGAACCCATAAGCCCAGAATAGCTGCCCCAAAGTGACCAAAGAACAAAGATATAGACAGGAAATGTAATTGGAAACAAACAGCTAGCTGGCTTCCGTAGTAAAGCTGTGCAGCATTGTGGCTAAGTCTTGGCTGTGGAACCATGCTGCTTGGGTTCAATTCCTGGCTCCATGAGTTATTAGCTGTGTGTTCTTAGACAAGATATTTAACCTCTCTATGCTTGTTTCCTCACCTGTAAAATGGCAACAGTAATAGTACCTAATACTTATCTCCTATGACTATTGTGTGGCTTAAATGAATTAGCACATATAAAGCACTTGGAATAGTAAGCAGTCAATAAATAAATATTCTTTTTTTTTAATTATTTTTTTATTTTTTATAAATTTTTTTTCTTTTATTTATTTTTTCCCCCAAAGCCCCAGTAGATAGTTGTATGTCATAGCTGCACATCCTTCTAGTAGCTGTATGTGGGATGTAGCCTCAGCATGGCTGGAGAAGCGGTGCGTCGGTGCCGGCCGGGATCGGAACCCCGGGCCGCCAGCAGCGGAGCACGCGCACTTAACCACTAAGTCATGGGGCCGGCCCAATAAATAATTATTCTTATATCGGCATTCTCACTCTGAGAAAGAGCTCCTTCTTTCATCACAGAATTATACTTCACATTTCTACATTGTCTCCAAAGATACTTCCCCCCACCCCCAAAGAAAAAGAAACCACTTTTTCACAGAAACTAGTGTAAGGCCAGATCTCCAGAACCTCCATAGAAGATGTGGCAGGGATTCCTGACCTGAGTGAAGGGCTAAGTTTGGTCAGCTTGCTCCTCAAACCAGGGACTCATGACACCTGATTGACTAAAAATATAACTACTATTTTTACAAAAGCTCAGTCGACACAGCATTTTCGCCCTCGTGAAACCTTCACCCTATTCACAGAACCGGGAAGCTGACGCCCAGAAAAAGATTAGTCATCTACTTGCCCAAGGTCACTCGATGAATTCTGGGGAAGGGTCGAGGGAACCACCTCTCCTGACCCTGCAAACTCTAGGGGGGCAACCAGGGCCAAGAGGGCCCCGGGCGGGTTTTGGCGGGCTAGGTCCTGAGCCGCAGGGCAGTGAAGAAGGTCCAGTCGATCGTCTCGCCTTACCTCCTTGGGATCTCCCGACCCAGCCAGCATATTTCGCTCGTCCTCCAGCCCCATGTCCGGCTACGGTTTTGGATTCAACACAAGCAGCAACAGCGGCACCTATTCCACTTCAGGATCAAGAAGGACTTGAAAGGGTCACTCAGCGGATATCCGGCAATCTGGCCGGAAGTGCGGCAGACTCGTCGTAGTCGCGAACATACGCCCCGATTGGCATGTACTACCGTCCATAGGCAGGGGATAGGGGTAGCTGCTATTTGCACCTGAGGAGGATTTGCTAAGAAGTGTCTCCTTAGTCACGGAAGACCCAAATAAACTGATCTAAGAGTTTATTTCAAATATTAGCTTCTAAGAGACTTGGGAAGTATGTAGATTTATTCGAAGTTCCTTTAGTGCAGTTCCCATTCTTACCCACATCGCTGATGGAACCGTCCTAACTACTGACCTTTTCAAGATGGCGGCCCACGGGTGCCACTCTCGGGCTCGCGCACCTCCCCAAGATGGCGGCGCCCGAGGCCTGGCGCGCCCGGAGTTGCTGGTTCTGTGAGGTAGCGGCGGCAACGACCATGGAGGCCACGTCCCGGGAGGCGGCGCCAGCGAAGAGCTCGGCCTCGGGCCCCAGCGCTCCCCCCGCCCTGTTCGAGCTGTGCGGGCGGGCGGTGAGCGCCCATATGGGGGTTCTGGAGAGCGGGGTGTGGGGTAAGTCGCGGGGTGAGGGGCTACCTCTGGCAACGAGCGGAGGCGGCCCAGCGGCCGGGGGGCGCGGGGGGCGAGGCCGGGAGGCCCGGGGCAAGGCCCAGCCCGGGGCACTGGAAGCCCGACTGTCGAGTCGCAGCATGAATTCTGTGACTGAGCGGGCTGGGCTGAGTCAAGTCGGAGACCAAACCGGCAGGTGGACCCGCAGCGCGGCCTGGCTGAGGGGCGCAGGGGGCGAGGCCAGGAGGCCCGGTCGGGGGCGAAGCAGGCAGGGCCCGGGCGGCAGAGGCTGGACTGATGGGCCAGGCCGAGGGCACCGAACTGACACTCGGGCTGGGCCGGGCTGAGGTGTCTCGGATGTCGAGCCGACGGGCAGGGATGGAGCTGCTGCTTGGGGGCGGGGGCCGAGGTTGGGAGGCCCGGCCTAAGGCAAGGAGGCCAGGCCCAGGGCCACCTAACCTGACGGCCGGCGCGGGGCCTCCGGCATCGGCCTTGCAAACCACGGTGCCGAGACGCCGGAGGGCAGGCCGATGGGCAAGGATAGCCCGGTGGATTGGAGATCGAGGGAATGGGGCTGGGGGAGAGGCCGAAAGGCTCGGGGCGCCGAGGCTGAAGGGAGCGAACTGCTGACCCGGGCCTCGGGTGCCAAACTGATTGAGCGACGGGCTGACAGGCAGGGCAGGGAGCGCTGGAGGCCCCTCGGATTGGCCTGGGAGGCGGGGAAGGTCCCGAGAGCGGGTGAAGGGAGGCCGGGAGCAGGTCAGCAATTGAGCGAGGCTCGAATGACGGACAGGCGGGAAGGGCCGAGGAGGCCCCAGGCGGGGCGACGGCCTGGGGAGCCCGGGCTGGGAGGGGGCGCGTCGCCGCTAGAAGGCCTTGGTCCGAGTGGGAGTGAAAGGAGGCCCCAGGCCTGAGGGCGCCCGGGACCGGAGGGCCGGGCCTTGGTGAGGGCACCAGGCTGAGCAGCAAAGGCGGGCGGCCCCGGGGCGCCGGGATGAGGGGCCGGGAGGGCGAACGGACTAGCCCGGCCGGTGGGCCTGGCAGCGCGGCGTGCCGGGGCGGGCCGTAACGGAGGAGAGGCGCCTGCAGCCGGATGGGCACGAGGAGGCCGGGCTGTGGAGTGGGTACCGCTGGTCGCAGCCTGGCAGCTGATGAGGAAAACGAGTCGGCGTTGTGACGAGTGAGAGAGGAAAGTGAGGGCTCTGGGGGTTGGCCTGGCCGCACAGGGGACAAGGGAGGCCTTAGGCCTGACTGGTGGTGTGAGGGGGTGGGGTCCGGAGGCCAGGGCTGAAGTTGGGTGAGGAAATCGCAAGTCCGAGGCCCGGGAAGGAGGAAGGGGTGGCAGGAGAGGAGGCCCTAAGCCTTGGTCAAGGGGGTCGGTTCTAGAGAAGGCCTCAGGAGTGGTGGTGGTGACTGCCAGGAGGAAGGCCCTGGTAAGGTAGGGAGTGAGGGCTTGAGATGGTGGGATGGGGGGGGGGTTGGATTATACCCCCCAGTGAGGAGGCAGATGTGGAGAAAAGGCCCTGGAGTTTGGGGAGTTGGGCCTCCAGAAATAAGCCTCAAGGCTGTGGAGAGTTGTTAAGGAGGCCCAGGGATGTGGGAAGGCCTTTGGGGAGGTGAGGGTGGGGCACCAATTTGAAGAGGCCCAAGTATCTTCCCGTAGTGGTTAGAAGTTCTCAGGCCTGGTGTGGGGAGGGGATTGTGGAGGCCTTATGCCACCAGCTGAGAAGGGTCAGGCTGAGCCATGGGGAATGGGAGAAAAGTCTCAGTGGAGTTGAGCAAGGGGCTCAGAAAAGTCTTGGGGAATGTAGAAGAAGGCAGAGAGGATCTGACTGTGTCAGCCTGGAGCTTTTAGGATGCTAAACCTGGCTAGAAGGGAAGAGGACTGGGTGTGGAGGCCCCAAGCTGCAAAGGGGAAGCATTAAAGGTGTAGACTGGAAAGAAGCAGGGAAGAGCTTGGCTTAAGAACGGAGAAAGGAGGAGTTTGTGGATAATAGGGGATGAGAATCCCTGTGACTGTGAGAGAGGATGGCTAAACAGAGGGGAGCAGATTGGAGGGGCAGAGGAGGAAGAGCGTCTATGGGCCTAGCCCAGGTAAACAGTCACACAGAAAAAGCTGAATCAAGTTAGGCCTCTTAGAAGGGCCAAGTAAGAGGCCTGCTAAGCAGTGCTATTTTGGAGGAAGGTCTCAGCAAGGGCTAACAGCCAGGAAGGGCTTCCTGGAGGTAGCGGACTAGCGTTGCTTTGTGTAGGGAGAGAGTGAGGGAAAGTGAGTAGAGGCAGTAGGAAAAGGTACAATGAGGAAACTTAAGTAGACTAGGTATGTTATACCTTTTTTTTGTTTTATTTATTTTTCCCCCAAAGCCCCAGTAGATAGTTGTATGTCATAGCTGCACATCCTTCTAGTTGCTGTATGTGGGATGCGGCCTCAGCATGGCTGGAGAAGCGGTGCGTCGGTGCGCGCTCGGAATCCGAACCCCGGGCTGCCAGTAGCGGAGCGCGTGCACTTAACCGCTAAGCCACGGGGCTGGCCCGAGGTATGTTATACCTTGAATGCCAGGATATGGAACTTGGACTTTATCTTGAATGCAGTAGAGAGCCTACATTAGTGTAATAGCATAGGGAATTAATGTTTTCATTCAGCAGGTACATTGAGTACCTACTATGTACAAAGAAATGTACTAGACTCTTGGATATCAAGATTCAGTTATTCCACAAGATAAAAGGAGATCCTGGAATGGAAGTTTGGAAAGATTTTCCTTACTCCAAGATATTCCAAGATCTTACACTTGTTCTTGGCAGGACAGAGATGTAATGACAGGATAAGAATAATAGACAACATTTAGTGAGCTTATTATGGCCAGGCATGGTCTTAAAAAAAGATTATAGTTCTCACAACAATGTTATGAGGTAGTTATTATTATCTCCATTTTAAAATTGAGGAAACTGAGGCTTAAAGATGTTAATTTGCCCAAGGATTCACAATTAATTGATACAATCAGTATTTCACCCAGTTTTGTCCAACTCTAGAGACTAAACCGTTTAGCCACAATACTATAATGGCTCTCAGATCTAGAGAAGTCAGCAAGAGCAGGTTTTCTTTTTAAGATATATTGAATTTAGAGTATAGAGCCTAATTATTTCTATTCTTTATAGGAAAGTTCTAGTTCAGGGTATAGTGGGGGCCCAAAGGATGGAAGTGGCCAGTCTGGAAGAGTGGGAAGGGAATTCAGGAAAGGCTTAATAAAGGGCATGTGATACTTGAAAGATGAGTAGTTGATTTGCTGAAAGTGGCAAGGACATTCCTGGTGGAGACAACAGCGTGACAAAGGCACAGAGGCAGAAAGCAGCATAACGTGTTAGATAAATGAAAGAAGTGGCTGAAGTATAGGAGGCAAAGCAGGGAGCTGGAGAAGTTAGTAGGTCCTAGATTATGAAGGACTTTTTTATCACACATATTCAATAGGACCTTTTAAATGCAGAATGGTTGGGACCAGCCCCGTGGCATAACGGTTAAGTTTGCCCATTCTGCTTCGTCGGCCCCAGGGTTTCTCGGTTCAGATCCTGGGCGCAGACCTACTCACCGCTCATCAATCCATGCTAAGGCGGCATCCCATACGGAAGAGCTACAACTCTACTACTGTGATACACGACTATGTACTGGGGCTTTGGGGAGAAAAAAAAAAAAGAGGAAGATTGGCAACATGTTAGCACAGGGCCAGTCTTCCTCAAAAATAAATAAATAAATGCAGAATGGTTCATTATGCTTGGGTAGAAGTGAACTGACCAGCTCCTAAATGAGCATATCAGCTTGCTCTGTGGGATTATCTCACCCTTGAAGATGTGCATGCCCCTGAAATTCCAGCTGCTGACTATGTGGCTGAAGATAAGTGGACCAGAGTTTGAATTGGACTTCGGTTAGCTTCCACAGGTTCAATTTGTCAAATGAGAAGTCTGCCCTTCTGTTTTCCTTTCCACTAGGATAAATAATGCTTGGAATCCTGGGAGATAAAAGTAAATTTTGTGTTTTGGTTTTTGTAGCCCTCCCAGGCCCAATACTTCAAAGCATCTTACCTCTGCTCAATATATATTACTTGGAGAGGATTGAGGAAACTGCCCTCAAGAAAGGTGAGTGTCTTTCTGTCTCTTTCTCAGTCAGTGATTGTAAGCAAGGCACCGTGATGTTCTTGAGGTAAATATTACACCTGATACCTGCATAGAACTTCATGCTTTTCAAAAAGTACCCTCACACCTACTTTCTCATCTGATTCCTCAGTGTCCTATGAAACGCAAGGCAAGGATATGATCTCTATTATATTAATAAAAGTGAGGCCACAGCTAATAGGAAAGCTAGACTAGAACCCAGATCTTCTGAGTCTTGGTTTTTCTATTTTACCAGGCTGCTTCCCAAACCCCTCGTTGGGTATATCTGTTAACAGCTAACATTTATCTAACTACCCCTGATGTGCCAAGCACTATCCTAGGCCCTTTATCTGGAGAAACTCATTTAATCTTTTCAACAACTCTATGAAATAGCTATTATTAACTACATTTTACAGATAAGGAAACTGAGGTACAGAAAAATTTACTTGCCCAAAATGACACAGCTAGAGTGTGGTTTGCTGATATTTAAACCCGGGCAGTGTGTCTTCAGAGCCACTGCTCATTACCACTCTGCCATATTGCTCCTGTGAACCCAGAGAAGGACAGCATTAAAAGGCTGATATACTTCACTCATGGTCAAGGAGCAGCCAAGTAAATGT